GGATTTTATCTGCTTGTGCTAGTGTTTGGGAAATATTAGAAAAGTGCAAGAGTAGAAGTGTCTTTCTTCCTGCACAATATTCCTCATTTTCTAATGCTGCCAATTGTCATCCTTGCATATTTTTTTGGAAGAGTTTGTCTACATAGTACGTGCATTTTTGGATCTTTGGATGATTTTCAGGGGCAAAAATCTGTAATTTTCTTTCTGTTCCTTTACTGTAAAAGATGTGATATTGCAATATTTATATATATTCATGGAATGGATATATGGCCAAAATATTTGTGATAGTCAACCCCATCTCCTCAAAGTAGACAGGCGCCTAACTGCTGTTATTTCAAAGGGTGATAGATCCTAAATTGGATTTATGCCTCACTCTGGGCTAGATTTATCTGAGTATTTAGTCATTTACCTGCCTTTGAAATCAGTGAGAATCAGTTTTCAAAATTAGCCCATGGCATTATGTATCTCCCAGCCTCAAGTGAAACTTCAACTCCAGAACAAATACATTAGCCAACTTTTCATTTGAATAACTGAAATCAGTGGAAGTTATGCAGCTGGGGGCTTTGGAAAGTCCCTGGAGTCTTTCACCTGCATCTTTCAGCACTACATGTCTTTGAAACTGTGGCCCTGAAGCACTGTTGAATATGTTATCTGTCCTCTTTAATAGGATGTACATGATACTACTATTATAGATGAGATTTCTGCTCTCGTATCTCTAGCTGATGAGGGATAAAGATTTGCAGGTACAGAAGAGCAAGTCCCTAATGAGAGGAAAGGGCAGAAATGCCATTGGTTTCTAACTGACAGTTGGATAAAAACCTGAAAGCATGTCTAATTCAAGCTGTTAAAAAGAAAGTGATGATTGAATACATTGAAATAATGGTGCACCCTGTCTTCAGAATCATGCTTTTTAAACTAAAAAGCATTTTTTCCAGACAGGAAGGATAGTTCAGTAATTTAGAATTTGACTGGATTTTTGAAAATGAAATAATTGATAGGCACCAATGCTCATTATTTAAAATCAGTTTATGTCAATATGTGCTTTTTAAATCTGAACTAACTCTAATAAGTTCCACAAATAACAAATGTAAGTCCAGCTCTATTCATCTGAAGGACTTCAGCTGTCAGTAGCTGAATTACAGCTTGTTTGAAAGTTTAAACATATGTATGTGAGTTAACTCCACATTTAGACTGTTCATTATAAACCAGGAGCTGTGACTGTTGTGAACAGTGTCTGAAGAGGCCTCA